GGATGAGAATAAGACGTGAGGAATTTACTTTTAATCAGGTCACGATAATTAAGGTGATGATATTAACATTGTGTAATTAATCTAAATGACATGCAGCAGGTCACACCATCAGTTGGCAGTGCACGTGGGTGCTGAGGTCACACAGTTCCCCCACTGATTGTTAAGTGTGATGACGGTGATGTTTGTAATTAATATAAGGGACCTTTTTTTTTTTTTTGGTAAAACTTAAATGGTGCCGAAGTAGTGAGAGGCGACAGGAAAACTAGTTCTAACGGCAGACAGCGGGACGCCCGACCTCACATAAACCCGCAATTGATACCACCATTGTTGTAGCGGTGAAATGGCTTGTTCGTGCGCAGGCCGAAAAGATAAAACAGATCCAATCCGTTCATGGTATTTGCAGAAAAGCTGACAGCAGCACGAACCAGGATGTGTTTGCTGTTCCTCAGCACATCTCAAAAACAAATTATAATCCCTTTGAAAAACCACAGTGGTTGATTTTAGCCGCACGCTTGCAGACGTGTGCGTGCGTCCAACCTAGCATGTGCCTGTGGCTCAAACTCAGGTCTTATTTGCATAAAGTCCACACGAGGGTTGTTGTTGTCACAGAAGAGGTTAATGAGAGCAAAGTGGAAAAAAAAATAGATATAGATATAGATATAGATATAGATATAGATATATGTATGTATATATAGATGCTGTTTTCCTTATCGCGGTTCTCTATATCTATATCTATAGATATAGATAGATATATGTCTATCTATATCTATCCTTTCGCTTCTTCAGTACATCGCAGATTTCAATCTCGCGAAATTTTCACTATACCAATGAAATATAGCAAAACTAAAAAGAAAAGTAAATAAAAATAATTATACATACGAAGGTTTTCACTTGACAAAAAAAAAATTATACATATGAAGGTTTTCACTTGAATGTGGATTCTCGTTTTAAAATTGAGATAAAGGCATTTGCATACGATATGTATATATATATATGCATATATGTATATATTAAAGTGACAGTACATATATGCATATATGTCTAAATATATATACATACATATATATGTATCCATTTTGCAGATTTGTATCAAATTGAATATGGAGTGCGAGTCCATCGGCCCATGTGTTTCATTGTGTTTAAAAGGTAACTTTCACTAATTAATAACCCTGATTATTGTGTTCATTTTGACAACCCTAAAATTAACCTAGGGTTCAATTAGAAGAATGGAATTCTTTGAATTTTAATTACTCATACCTTCCACAAGAGAGCACTATCTGGTGTTCAAATTCATAATTCCATGTATCCTGTCTATTCATGTCAGCCCTAGCTTATACTGCATATACTGCAAGTGGTTCCCAAACTTACACTGCAGCGCCCTCCGCAGGTCAACACGTTTACAGCTTTTGGAAATGTCATTCACAAATAGTTCTTATTGAACCCAGTGACGAATTAAAGGACAAAGAAAGTAAGTATAGAAAATGATGTTCACTTAGGTGAGCCCTCACAGCCTCTGCCTGCTGTAGCTCTGTGCAGCCCAAAGAGGGCGCCCCTACTACCAACACACCAGGGATGGCATCTTCCTCTTCTTACTCTTCTTCTTCTTTGGCTCAAACTCTTTGAAATCCCTCCTCTTCTTATTTTTCCGTTTTTTTTTTGTTTTGTTTTGTTTTTGTTTTTGGAAAGAATGAGCTTAGAAATGGGATGAGCTCAGAATATAAATATGTCAAGAGTCAAGGCCACACTCACTTCAGATGACAGCCTACTGTGCATCCAATGGCTTTAAACCCTACATGACATCGTACCAAGAACTCACATAGGAATAGAAAGCCATAGGACACAGTTGTAGTTTGAATCTCAGATGCAGGTGGAAGCAGCAAACTAACAGGGGAACACAGGGTTGGTGGTGGTGACGGCCCAAAGAGGTAGAACCAAACTCCCAGGTGAACTTTCACACAGACACCGTACTTCCCCTGGTTCCACCTGAGAGAAACCCCACGCCTGAATCGACAGGTGACACCAGCAGCGACACCTGCTGTTCTCCTTCTCCTTCTCCTTCTGGTGTTTGTCGATCCTACGCGGATGAAAAAAGCCGTTTTCGCATCAACGTCTGCTGGGAAAGGCACCAGTGTTAACGAGTTCAAAACAGATTACGTAAAGTCTTTCTACATTCTGTGGCAACCCCCTGCTTCCCCCTCGCCCCGAGCACAAAAGACAGCATTACCTCAGCGTTTCAATTCAGACGCTGAGCACAGAAAAAGCTTAGTAGTTTCAATCCGGGGCCAGGAAGTTGGCGGACCCCCCGCTCCCTCCCCACTTGTACCGAGTGAGCCTTGCGTTTAAACCCCAAAAAAAAAATCAAATAATCTGTCATTATTTGACCAATTCCAAAAGAGTGAACCTGGATGCTGCGAGCACCAAACTGTCAGTTAAGTTTCTGGACCACTTCGGCGTAGACTCAGCACTCAGAGCTACGCAGGTCAAATCTGCTCACACAGGAGTCTGCTCAGAAAACAGCAGCCTCTGTAATAACATCAGGGCAAAAAAAAAAAAAACAGGGGAAGAAAAATGCCCTGGGATACAGGAAACAAACCGGGACAGAGGAGGCATTCGCTGACATTGTATCAAGTGCAACGCTGAGGTATTTGAGGCACACAGGGGCCAGGTATTTATCAGACACTGTTCCTTGTGCCTCCTCCATCTCCAG